GAAATGAAAATGGGCCATGAATTTCCAGGACAATCAACCACAACAGAGTATCAGGTTTAAATGGCATTTTTAAGATCAATTGACATAACTTAGGTAACCAACTTCAGAAATTCACCCATATATGAAACAATGGTATGGCCCTCACACTGGCACATCTGTGGAACTAAAGTTTTAACGGCTACATGTCCTGGGTAGCAGGCTAGAGAAACTGTCAATCCATCTTTCTCCAATGAATCACTGGTCTCAGAAGAAAAATACAAGTGCCCTCTAGCATGACTGCTATTTTACCCAATACTCATCCCTTGACCCCCTCCCTCAGGACGATGAGAGACACAAGAATGCACAAGAAAACATCAGCAGTTCTCAATCTGACTGCATTTTAGAATCTCTTGGCGCTTGGGCAACACCCTAAACCAAAACAATCAGAGGTCAGACCTGGCATCAGTAGGTTTAAAAACCTCTGCATGTCGGTAAGATTAGACTTATATTCACTTCTCTTCCAAATTTTATACTTGACCAATTTTCTATGATAAGCATATACAACACTGACAATCAAGAAAAAAATGAAAAAATTTAGTAGGACATGTCTTTCTTCCTGTTCATCACTTCCATCATCCATTGTATAGTCTGGTAGACCATTTAGTTCACCACATTTATTAAAATAAAGCACATCCACACTTATTTTTTTCTTTTTATAACCGAAGGAAACACTAGATAACCGAATTGACATCTAAAAAATGTAATAGTAATTTTACATTTTAGTAAAAATTGTAATAGTCCTATGTAATAGTAACTTTCTCAAAGTAAATAAATCTTTTCTCCTCTTAGTCCTGCTTGTCAGGGCTTTTATTATTGTTGTTGTTGTTAATCCTCACCTGGGATATTTTTTCCATTGCTTTTTTTAGAGTGGAAGGGAGGGAGGGAAGAAGGGAAGAGAGAGGGAGAAAGAGAGAGAGAGATAGAGATGTGAGACACATTGATTGGTTGCCTCCTGTATGCATCCTGCAACCCAAGTATGTGCACTTTGGTGGCCGGGTTGATGCCTAACCACTGAGCACACCAACCAGGGCTTGACAAGACTTTAAAAAAGTCCTTCCTATTCAGGCAGAGCCTATGATCCAGCTGGGACAGTGGAGCTGGAGCCTGCGAACAGCCAGGGTGGCAGATGGGCCGTGATCTGGGACTGTGCTGACTCCTCTTCTGGGACACCCACAGTCAGCCTCTCTGGGACGGTGGCTGACCCCTATTCTCACTGTTTCTGACCTGGATCAGCTTAGTTTTCCTCCAATAGATGGTAAACTGCCTTCACACCATGAGAGAGACAGTAAACTAGATTGAGGAGGGAGGAATGGAGGAAAAAGGGAAAGGAAGGGACTTACAGGATTAATGAGCTGATTTCTATAAAGACTTTGACATCTTGGAATGAAAAGCGGCCTGTAAGAGCAGAAGCCCAGTCCTCCGCTCTGGCCATGTTGCCAGCTGGCCATTCATCACCCAAAATTCCCCAACAACTCCGTGGCTATTGCTTAATCACCTCATATAAATCCCTATTAATCTTGCAAAGTCAAAACAGAAATATATGACAAAAGTCTTTATTTTATGTGCCCCAATTTCAAGGTCAAAATTTTAAAAACTGAATTGGTTATCCAATGGCTCCAATGAACTTAAAAACACACACCCTTCTTTCAGCATAAAAGGACAAATAAATGACATCCTTGCTAATGTTTTTGTTCTTATTGGACTGAATGAACTCAGGCTAATGATCAAATAGAGGGGGGAAAAATTAAACCCACTTTTTTTTTCAATAATATTCATGTTTCATAACTTATATCAAAAGATACAGGAAGTCCTTAGGAGGCACAAAGGAACATTGATTCCTCCTTCATGTGTAAATTGTGAGGGACACAAAGGAGCCTCTTCAGCAGAGGAATCTGGAATACTGTGCCCTGTGACGTCTTCCCGGGGAAAGGCAGGTGAGAATGTGAAGACAGGGTTGACTTTGAGAAGGGCCCACTAGGACCCAGAGCTCATGTGAGCAAGGAGCTGTGAGCGCAGACAAACACCTCCTGTAGCAACACTCTCAAGAGGACCTCAGGGACAGGGCAGGTGTGTGACAGACTGAGGCTCCGTCACTTATATCCTATTCTATACTTTCTTATGCAGGAACCTCAAGGTTACTGTGACAATGGTGTGAATAATACAGAAAAACTGATCCATGGCTTTGGAATGTATTGTGTTCTGGCAATGTATTTTCCTCCCAAACGTTATTTTAGGCCCTGAACACATGCTGATTAATATGGTAAAAGTGTTGGGTAGTAAGAGGAAGCCTGGTGTTAGGAACCATCTACAGACCACCCACAAAGTGTAAAGTTCACACTTGGATAATAAAGTGTTGACTGTACTGGAAACATAATAAGTGGCTTTCCTGGACTCTCAGCAAGGAAGGTGGAAACCCAGTGAATTGCAGTGATTCATGCCTTTGTTTTCTAGGCCTGGAAAATCATGGAGAAAAATCAGAGAAGATGGGTGGGGGTGACGATGATGAAAAGCTTGATTAGAAAACTGCATTGGAAGCACAGGGAAGGTTAAAGGAGGCCAGAAGGACTTCTCCAGTTTTGTCATCCATCTTCAGGCATTGCACAACACGAAGGTCCATTCAGATGGCTGGCCTCCTACTCTATCTCCTCCTTCCTATCCAAACAGAAGGAACTGGCCCATCAAGCCAGTGAATGAAGAACTTCTATGAAACCCATGAAAGGATAGCAAGCTAAGGGGGCAGAAACTCCTTCCTCAGCAAACAGGAGAGTCAGTATTGTCTTGGGCCAGTCAAGCTGGAAGCAGGGGTCTCAATTGCATGGTTTCTGGAGAGCCCTGACTTCCTGATAACCTAGAAATAATAGCGAGAGGGTCTGGCCTATGAATTGGTAAACATAGAAGAGCACAAATATAATCAACAGTTCCTTGTTCTGAAAAAAGCACCTGGGGGGAAGTTGTCTAGAAGCCACACAGAAGTGAAATGATACTAGGCTTATGGAAGTGGTTTATGGTACATCAACTCCTACTCTTTTTTAAAATATGCTTTTATTGATTTCAGAGAGAGGAAGGAAGAGGGAGAGAGAGATAGAAACATCGATGATGAGAGAGAATCATTGATTGGCTGCCTCCTGCACACCCCCTACTGGGGATTAAGCCCGCAACCTGGGCATGTGCCTTTGACCGGAATGGAGTCGGCAGGCCAATGCTCTATCCACTGAGCCAAACCAGCTAGGGCCATTAACTCCTACTCTTTAAATAAAAGAGAGAGAGAAAAAAATTGGGCTAAAAATGAGAGATTAACCATCACTTTATTGGCATTTCAGACACTAAAAAATTTTCCCATGAATATCCCTGTCCAAAGCTACAGGTGCTTAGGAAAACATGGAGACTCACATCCACACATGGAGAAATCCTTCACTGGCTCCCTTTCACTAAACGTTTCCTTTAGAATTTAATGTGTGGTTCAAGTATTTCTTCAGCTACCTTTCCTTTCTTTTTTGTTTTTTAAGGATATGTTTTTATTGATTTTAGAGAGAGAGAAAGGGAGAGGGGGAGAAACATCGATGTGACAGAGAAACATCGACTGGTTACCCCAACTAGGAATTACACCTACAACCTGGGTATGTGCCCCGACTTGGGACTTGAACCCACAACCTTTTGGTGTATGAGACAACACTTCAACCCACTGAGTCACTCTGGCCAGGGCTCGTCAGCTTCGTTTTCTGCCACATGTACCTTATACTTAAACCAGAAGAGTTCTCCACACTCACCATGCCACTTTATACTGCCATGTCTTTGCCTAAGACATTACCTGAGCCTAGAATGCCCCTCCCTGCCCTGGCCACTTAGCAAAATTCCTCTCATCTTTTGAAGGGTGCAATGCTAGATCTCCCCTGCCCCTCCTCTGGGCTATTTCTGTACCTACTACATACATTTGTTATCATACTTACCATATGGGATGGAAATTATTTACACATCTTTTTCATCTCGTGGATGTGAGCTCCTTAAAGCCAGGACTAGTTCTTCTATATCTGCATCCCTACCTCTCCTAACACAAAGGTTAGTGTGTAGTCTGTGCTCAACAGTACTTTGTTGAATTACACTGAATTGCAGGCCTCAGACTACCCATCACTTGCTTTGCCATATAAGGTGGGAAGCCCAAGAAAAGTGAACAAAAGCATATTTTAAAAAAAATTTAAAAAGAGGCTGCTATTTTAGGCAACCAACATATTGACTCTTAATCAAACACAACATACGCAGCATGGGATGTGGTAGCATGTGGTCCTCCACTAGGCTGCCTCTGCTGGAACTTACAGAGGACACACCAGGGTCCTCGCAACATCACTGTCCGACAGTGATTTGAACACAGTGTTACAGAGAGGATTTCCTATTAAGTAAATGAGATACAGTGGGGTCTTGACTTACTAGTGTCCCAACTAAGGAGTTTTTTGAGATACCAGCTGTCTTTTGGCCGATTTTTTGCATTGAGTTGACAGAGTAATTTGAGTTAACGAGCTCCCTAACGAGCTCCTTAACGAGCTCGGTCTCGGAAGGAATTGAAGGAATTAAACTCGTAAGTCAAGGCCCCACTGTATTCTTTCCCTCCGTTTTTCACACAGAAAAGTGTGAACTTTCTAGAATAAACTAACAATGGCCAGGAGGAAGAACAAAATGTATCTAACACAGGGTTGGGCACATAGCAGGTATTAATAAAAATAAGCTGATTGGTGGAGAGATAAAAAGCCATATTACATGCCCCCCAGCCACACAGCAGCTTTAGAAAAATTGTCAAGAAAATATTTTTCTTTCTTCACCACAACCCAAAGTTCTAAAAAGATAAATACTCTAATAAGTTTAGAAAACTCATGCCAATGACGTTTAAAACTCCCACAACTAGAAACAGCAATTCTCCAATGTATTCCTAACCCCTGATAACTCCTTGCTCACGAGGGGTTGTAACATACCTCTTGGCCAGCCAGAGCTTGGCTGTGGTACAAACAGCAACATCAGCCAGCTCCTGCTGAAAGTGCGCATTCATTCTGTGTTTGGAGTCCGAGAAGGCTTGTAACAAATGAAAAACCTAAACCAAAGGAGAGAAAAAGCAATATCTGCTGTGAAAATATATTTTTTCTAAATGCAAGTTCCTCCCTTTTAGGTTTCCTCCAAATATTCCCCTCAAAGAAAACAGACACCTGCAGAATGTGGCTCCGGTCTCTTTGCAAAAGGCTTGTTGGTTTTGGAGGATGTAGCAAGTGGCAAGTAACCCACGTACCTGTGCTTTGGGTTCCATACATGATTCCAAAGAAAGGTAAGCAGACAATCATTTGATACGAGAGCTTACTAGTTACAAACAACCTGTAAGTTGGTTTTAGCAAAGAAATGCAAACATCTTTCTCTATGTTAGCAGTCACTCACAAAAAATGTACCTCTTAAAGCCTAAGTCTGAGAATCTAACTGGTTTACATGTCTGGGTTTATCAGAACAGGCTTGGCTAAAGAAACAGGCCACAAGGACGCTTGCCTTTGCAAACACTCCACAGCGACGTCTGTAAACTATTCAGATTTTTTAGCAGGTCTTTGCTGAGATGTCAGGAGTGGAGGCAGCAAGGCAGACACACCCCACTTTCTCACTCTTACATGACATTATATATTAGAATTAAGCAGAGAAGGACATATCCTGTTCTATCTCTGGATGTCTATATTTAGGACAAAGGCCACAGTTCCAGCAGACACATGATACAGGGCACGTGCAAGTGTGCATGCCCTGTGTCATGGATTCACACTCCGATATGACATCAACGAGGCCTTTGTGAGGAGTACAAACCTGCAGAAGAGAAAGAAAGCGGACAAGGGCATAGATGAGATCCTCTGACCTTACCCAGTGCCAAGGAGAAAGACACATGTCAGAGAAATCCTTCAGTCGCCCTTATCTTAATCAAGGAGGAGGTGGGTGAGCAAAGCAAGTGCAGATAAGCACATGAAGAACTTTGAAAGGCTATTTTAAAACTCAGTTTGTTTTCTTTCCCTACTGTATCCTTCACCAGAGCTGCAGATGATTCTTTCTCAGCAATAAGATTCAAGTTTTTCTTTTTCTCTCATGTCAGTGAGGGGCATAATTGAGAGTTACATATGGAATGGAGTAGAGAAGAGCAAGGGGCCAAGATAAAAGAGACCTAGAGTCATTGGACCCTACACAAGTCGGAGTTGGCACGTTTTCTGGGGTCAGACATCTGTAATTACCAACAACAAATATATACTGACCACCGTTCGTTTAAAGAAAAAAATAAATTGTGATGAATTTACTGTATGTGCCCTGGCCCGTGTGACTCGGTTGGTTGGGTGTCATTCTATGCACCAGGAGGTTGCTGGTTCGATCCCCGGTAGGGAGCATCCAGGAGGCAGCCAATTGATGTCCCCTCTCACATCAATGTTTCTCTCTCTCCTTCTCCTTTCCTCTCTCTCTAAAAATCAATAAAAAAATCTTTTTAAAAATTTATGTAACCACTATTTTTTTTCTAAACAGAAGTAACTGGACAGGAGAATGCACATATGTCCTAATGGAAACTGAAAACGCTTTCTCTAATAATGGACCTGTTATTTCAGAAGCAACAGATCGAATATCACTACTTCACCACACCCCCACAGGGACCCAAACCACCCGTCCTGAAGTCTGGAGAAATGGGTCTGGCTGGGGCTTCTGTTCTTCTGTGGTGACTGCCAGAGTGAAAAAAATACCTTCCTCTGCCTGAATCCCACCAGCCTGAAAGACTTGGCAGTGTCACTGGGCCTCGCTTTACTTTTCTCCGCAGCTGCACAGACCCAACCACCAGGGCTTTTCATGGTGTCACAGGATCGTAATTAATCAGCAGACACCAGCAAAATACATGACTGTGGAACTTACTTGTAAAGAAAGCTGTGAGATTTTCAAATGCCTCTCATTTAGAAGCAATCGCTTCAAAAATAACTCCTGATGGATGTTTAAACTTAGTCCTATATTTGCTCACCTTACTTGGCAAAAACAAGGCTGTTTTTGAAACGCTTGGTAGCTCTGGTTTATGAAAATCAGCCTAACAGGTCCATCAATTCTGTCACCTTGGGTACACACCACACAACAATTGTGATCCTGGTCATTCACTGGGAACGGAGAACTCGGAGTGTGGTCGAACCCGGGCCTGGCATAATTTGGAAACTGCTTATAATACAGAGCTGCCCTGCACCAAACGTGGAGAACCCCAAGCTGCCGGAACTGAGGCTGATGACTAACTGAACGCACATGAGAGCTGCGAGCAGTCGAGTAGTCACTTTCCGTGTCCCCAATTTGCAATGGGATTCAAACATTCCAGCCACAGATATTTATTAAAGAGCTATCACCACTAGGGACTGTCCTGGAAGTCACAGCAGAGAACAGAGTCCCTGCTCCCCTGCAGCTCACATTCTAGTCCCGGATACACGGAGAATCAATAGCTTCCTGACTCTGCCTGGCAGGGAGACACAGCCACGTGGCAGCACCGCCACCACTTCCTCCGCTTCCCCACCTCACCTTGCACCAAGTCCAGGCACAGCAGGAGTTCAACAACCATTCGCTGAACTGATGTCAGGATCTGTTGCCTCTTCCTATACTAACTCTGCCTTTAGGTCACAAGCCCCTGGTTTTGGGGGAGTGCCGTATGTCTGCCCCCTATCCCCCCGCACCCCGCTTCGTGGGAGTGGAGACACTGAGCTGAGTACCTCGCACTCCAGTGGATTTCTGATCTAGTGGGGAAGGCAGGAGGCTAGATTAGTGGTAAGAATGTAGCCCTAGGGAAAAGGAATGGGCGCAACACGCACTTTGGAGCCAGGTGGACATGGGCGTCAACCTAGTTACTATTAGTGGGGCTTTGGGCAACTCACGGAAACAGGTTAACATCCATAATAACATCGATATTATAGGATTATAGAGGGATTTAAAAGAATATATAGTACTTGGCACACACTAGGCACCTGGGAAAAAAAGTTACTTCTCTTCCATTTTCTGTCTGCTCCCTCCTTTCCAGCCCCCATTCCTGAAATAAACAGTCAGAGAAGGCTTTGTAGAAAGGGACATTCATATTTGGCCTTGAAAAAAATCTTGCCAGAATTGGGAGAACAATATACAAACAGAGGAACGGGAATTATAAAAAAAATTTTTAAGGGTCTTAAAATATTGGTATTCCCAACAAAAAGAGTAAGCCTTACTGTAAACTATGGACTTTAGTTAATGGTAATAATGTGTTGATCTCAGTGTATTAGTTGTAACAAACGTACCCTCTAATGCAAAATATTAATAGCAGTAGAAAACTGGGGAGAGGGGACTGGGAGGACCTGCTCAGTTTTTCTGTAAACCTAAAATTGTTCTAAAAAGAAGCTATTTATTAAAAATCCTGGGACTGCTCAGGGGACAGCAAGTAGTTGTGCGTGACGAAAGCACAGCCAGGGTGTGTGTGGAAGGTGGGAGGAGACAGAGCTGGAGACAGATCTTAAATGCAACATCAAGAATGTGTGTTCTGTTCTTCATAGCTTTTAAGTGATCAGATCGGTAACTTGGGGGGCAAAAGGCCAGGGTGGTGTAGAGGCTGGATTAACGGGCAACATGACCAACACTACTGCAATAGTCCAGTCAGAAGGTGGTGAGGGGTGAAACCAGAGGCTGAAAACCAAGAGCCTTTGGACAAAAAAATGGCTGCAGATGTTTTATTTGATCTGCACGGTATTTTTAAACTTTCCTTTATGAATTGGGAGATTTCACATCAAACTCATCCTGATTTCCAATTTCTTTTGAAAAATCAAAACATCTGCCATCTTGGGGCCACACTCCCACAGAGCCATTGGGCCTGGGCTGAGGAGCAGCAGCTGCCCCCTTTGACAAGCAATGCGTGCTCAGGGTCCCCACTGTCCCCCTACTGACCAGCATGCGTGGTGGCTCGGATGGAGTGTCCAGGTTTATCACTTATCTCATGCTCTCCTCCCCACCCCCCTCAACTTATGTAGAATCGAGAGGAAATGAAATATTTACTGAACCCAAATCTCAATCAAAAGTTTGAAGACAAAGGATGCATCAAGAGGGCTGCATGTTTCTATCCACCCCCCTTCATTCACTTATTTGTCTGAAACAGACAGGACTGAATTTGTGACATCCCAACCTCACCCCAATCTAAACAACAGCAGCAGTGGAACTAAGAGGAAAGGATACATTTGAGAGACATTGGAGGCTGAAGAGGCAAGACTTGGGCAACTGCTCTAGACATGGAGTTGAGGGTCAGGAAAGAGACTCTGAACTCAGGCAGCTGGTGCTGGAGGTCCACCCCAGCAGGGATCACAAGAGCACATGTAGCTTTTTGGGGAATGAGGGAGGGGATTTAATGAGTTTGGTTGGGAATGTCCAGTGATAACTGCTCTAGGGAGGGAGAAGACCAGGAAGTCTTCTGAAAGTGGAGAGGAGCTCTATTAATCACACTGGGACAAGCAGGGCAGCTGTTTACTTCTAGCTATGGGAGGCCCTTTTGAAGAGCTTGGAGTGGATTTGGAGGTGTCTTCGGCAAAAGAAACAGGAGAAAGTGGTGTTGACTTAAAACAGTTGTGATTCGGTCAGAAAGAGACCAAAAGCACACAGCAAACAACTGAGTGCAGACCAAGCAGCATCACCAGGATTACCATACGCTCCGGACCATCAGCTGGGACTATCACAGGCCGGGACCATCACAGGCTGGGACTGCTGAGAGATGAGGTGATTGTCCAGGCCCTGACAAGGAGGGGGCTAGATTTCTGGCCCCTGAGATGCGTGTCTAAATGAAACTGTGGATCTAAGGAAAGTCTGGAGAACCTGGAAGCAGTTATTCTCTGCCCACTCCCATCCCCACTCTAAACACAGGGAGACTCGGGGGAGTTTCCAACCATCTGTGTAAAGCATGGGGTCCATTCTGGCAGCTTTGAATCTTAAAAGTGACTCCACAGAGCAAATGTAATGCTCTCTGAATAAATACCACAGGTCTGAGAAGAGTCATGAGGCAGATCCTGAAAAAACTTGCACTGCACCAGTAAAATATGTCTGGTTTGTGCTGCTGGA